TTCCAGGGCGTGCGGCGCGGCGATCATGGGGCTAGCGCCGTCCTTTGGTCTGCTCATGGCGGGGCGGCTGCTGGCCGTCATCGGGATCGGGATCGGCATCATGGTGGCGCCCGTGTACATCTCGGAGATCTCCCCGGAGACGCTGCGGGGCTCCCTGGGCTCCCTCCCGGAGATCTTCATCAGCTTCGGCATCCTCATCGGGTACGTCTCCAACCTCGCCTTCGCGGGCCTGCCCGACAACATCAACTGGCGCGTCATGCTCGCCGCGGGCATCCTCCCATAGTCCCATCCATCTCCATCGCGTTCGTGCTGCTTGTCATCCCGGAGTCGCCGCGGTGGCTGGTCATGAAGGGACAGGCCGGCGACGCGCGCGCGGTGCTCGTCAAGGTCTCGGACAGCGAGGAAGCGGCGGAGGAGAGGCTCGCCGAGATCGAGGAGGCCGCGCGCGCCACCGCCACCGCCTCCGGCGGCAACGGCAAGGAAGCGTGGCGGGAGCTGCTGAGGCCGTCGCCGGTGACCCGCCGGATGCTGGTCACCGGGCTGGGCGTCCAGTTCTTCCAGCAGGCCACCGGCATCGACGCGCTGGTGTACTACAGCCCGACCATATTCCGCGACTCCGGCATCACGACGGAGAGTCAGCTCCTGGGCGCCACCGTCACGGTGGGCGTGGTCAAGACGGTGTTCATCGTGATCGCCATCGTCCTCGTCGACCGCGTTGGCCGGAAGCCGCTGCTGTACGTCAGCACGGCCGGCATGACGGCGTGCCTCGCCTTGCTGGCCGCGTCGCTGTCGCTGCTGAAGAGCGGCGCGCTGCCTGGCGGCGTCGCCGTCGGGCTCGCCATCCTCACGGTGTGCGGCTTCGTGGCGTTCTTCTCGGTGGGGATGGGGCCCATCAACATGGTGCTGAGCTCGGAGATCTACCCGCTGCGGCTACGCGCGCAGGCCGTGGCGGCCGGCTTCGCGCTCAACCGGATGGCCAGCGGCGCCGTGGCCATGTCGTTCCTCTCCATCTGCCGCGCCGTGACCGTCGCGGGTGCGTTCGCCGCGTTCGCGGCCGTCTCGGCGCTGTCCGTGGCGTTCGTGCATCTGTGCGTGCCCGAGACGAGCGGCAAGACGCTGGAGGAGATCGAGTCGCTGTTCGGCGGCGGCGGTGTGAGCGTGGCGCACGGGAACGGCGGGGCCGGCGAGGTGGAGCTCGGTGACGCCGAGCGGCTTGAGCACAAGAGGCTAGTGTCGCACGCGTCGAGCTGAGCGTTGCGGCGCGAACAGCAAAACCGTATTAGACACGCAGAGTAGAAAACAGCGTTGTATTCTTTTCTTTTGCGTGAAAAATGAATACTTTCCCTCCTATGTTAGGAGGACGAGCTGTTGTATACGCACAAGCTCAAGCGTACATATATGTGCATCACCAATCATGCATGTATGCATGTTTTCATTCGCAGAGAGTATTATACTCCAGTTCTAAATTATAAGTCATTTAGACTTTTATATTTTTTACTATTTTATTACTATACATCTAGATATATGGTACTAAATTCGTTTTAAATTATAGTTCGTTTGACTTTTTTAACCCCAAGTTTGACCACTCGTCTTATTCAAAATTTTGTGCAAAATATCACTTCTCTTGTCGTGGCTTACTTTATTAACAAAAATTCTTCAAGAATGACTTAAATTTTGACTTCTCTTGTTGTGTGGCTTACTTTATTAACAAAAGTTCTTCAAGAATGACTTAAATTTGACTATGTTTGTACAAATTTTTGAATAAAACGAGTGGTCAAATTTGAAGTACATCCTAATACATGTCTTTTACTAAATAAATAATTTTTATCCATAGCAAAATTTAGAAAGAAAAGAGTACTTTAGAAAACCACTTATCCTTTTAATTGTACTAGTTAAAATTGAAACCTAAAAAATCAATATAGTAACTCCCTTAGAAAATGATTTAACATAAGTTCTGCTATCATGTTAGAAGATATGGTTCTAGCATTTGAATGATGTTGTACTCCATATTCCAACTTTGAATTTTTCCCTTTTACATCTCACTTAGAGCACTTTTACATTTTGTTGAAGCCGTGTAGAACTTGCACAAAAAGTGTTCTGTTCCTATGTAATCTCTCAAATTTGGACGCGATTCTAAAGATCAAATACATCATTGAGAGGGAAAAACATGTAATGTAGACGAGAAAAGTGAATGCAATAATCCATGCCTATCCGGCTTAATCCATAACACTGCAGGAAAAAACACAAATTTAAGCCCATGACCAGCAAAATAATCTACCTAACCAATACACACACAACTGTATTATTTGTTCCTCCTCACATATTTGGAAGTTATTATACACACACTACATATATAAAGCAACCTTACACCATTACACAATGAATCCGTATATCTTTTCTCATGAAGTAGTTTGAAAAAACAACCATTGAAGCAAAACTATTACAAAACTATGTTTTGTCCATGAAAAATTATAGCTCTTCAAGATCAAATACCTGAATATTTGGGAGAAGCGGTTTTTTTGTGGTATATATTTTCAAAATGGTTAAAGTTCATAATATGTACCCAAAAAGTTTTAGTTTTATCATTCTTATGTTAGAATAGCTACTATCCTTTTAAAGAAAAAACTACTCGACTTAAAAAAGCATTACTCATCTATAAACTTTGATTTTTTTTACCCTTCAGATCTAGCTTGATGATTGGAGCACATTTATTTTGTTTGGTTGCTTTGTTTAAGTCAAATTTCTCTAATTTCTATCAAGTTTATAGAAAATGCACCAATATCTATAATTATTTTTTGTTAAATTCTTCATAAACTTGTTTTCATAGTGTTTTTATTTCAACTATGTTAGAGAAGTTTGATTTATGATAAAACTATAGTAAAATATATTTCTGGAATCGAGGGGAGTACTTCATATTCGTGTTTGACAAAAAAACGACAATGGTCATTGGCCTTTTGCGTCTAACTTTGAGCCCTTTTATTTTGTTGATGAGAAGTCGCGTAGAACTTGCGCGAAAAGAAAAAAACGGAACTGCTAGTGCCCGGATGTCCGATCCGGGCACTAACATCTAGACGCTCGCGCTGCTGCCCCTGCATGTGCGCCCGTCCGCAACCAATTCGCTCTCCACACGCATGCATGCGAGTCCCCTTGCATCGGAACGCCCCCACGCACGCCCGACACGTCCGCACCTCGCGCCCCTGCACCTCATCCCCATCTCCATCCCCTTCCTCATCCCCAGCCCCATCCGTTTGCCTCGTCCCCGCAGGAGCACCCCACCCCATCGTGCCCCTGATGACGGCTCCGCTTCCCAACATGCTCATGTCTCCCCCTTCTCCAACGCATCCCGTTCCCCCACCGCGCCACTGTCCCAAAAGATCATGAAACACTTCTACTGCAATATTGCAAAAATATATGGAAAAACTATATAGTGCAGCATCGGGTTGTAAATACTGCAACATCGAAAAAAATATGTAGTGCAACAATAAAAAAAACATGCACTCCAAACATCGAAAAATATCTACTACGACAACGGAAAATATGTACTGCAACATCAAAAAAATATATAAGGCAACATTGAAAAACATGCACTGCAACATCGAAAAAAATCTACTGTAACAACGAAAAATATCTACTGCAACAACGAAAAAATGTGTACTGCAACATTAAAAAACATGTACTGCAACATCGAAAAAACATATACTGCAACACCGAAAAATTATGCTGCAACATTCGAAAAAATGTAGTGCAACATCTCAAGCAGTAGTATCGCAACATCGTAAAAACATCTGCTTATAATGATCCAAAAATCCCACCGCATCATTCAAATCATCTGTTGCAACATAAAAAACCCATTGTAACACGGCGAGATCTGACTCCAGAGCTCGCCGGAACCCTAGCCACCGCCGCATCCCTCATATCTAGAGGAAAAGGAGGATGAGGGCTCAGATCCAGAGGAGGATGAGGAGTAGGGCTCAGATTCAGATCCCTCCGCGACCTACTCGTCGGAGACGCCGCCATCGTCCTCGTCTCCGGTGGGGGTGCGGGAGCCAGGTAGCAGGGAGCGTAGGGGTGCATGGAGGTCGCGGAGGGGCGAGGGACAGAGGGAGAGAGCACTGGCAAGGCAGGGGCGCGCAGAAGCTTCAGCGTGTCAAGGCGCGTGTCCCTCGTCTCCCGAGGACGGCCCGGAGAGCGGGCGCGAAGAGCGAAAAGTCTGAGGGCGGGTAGAGCGGGGAAGTGCGAGTCTTGGGGAATAGGGTGTGGAACAAAGTCGGCCCCGGCCTCCTTGGTCTATATCATTACCAAAGAAAAAAAGTAATTCAAGTGTATTGGGCTTGGTCTCGACCATGACCCTGTAAAAAACCCACTCTTAGGTTGTCTTCAATTGGAGATTCACTGCGGAACCCAAATTCAAAATAGGTCTTCAACATAATATCTATAGCCTCCAATAGAGTACCTATATGGAAGATCAATTTTAGGTGCTGAGTATTCTCTCTTCTAGAGATCTATTTGTAGAAAATGGTTGTCTTTTGAGTCTTATTGTTAGAGAAGACAAAAAAATAGGTATTAAACTTTTTAACTGTAACGCTATCAAAGGATAAATGGCAATAGAGTACTTATATGGAAGACCAATTTTAGGTGCTGAGTATTATCTCTTCTAGAGATTCATTTGCAGAAAATAGTTGTCTTTTGAGTCTTATTGTTAGAGAAGACAAAAAAAAATAGGTATTAAATTTTTTACCTGTAACGCTATCGAAGGATAAATGGATGTTGTATTTTAGGTCGTCACTGTAGGAGACAGTCCTGTCCCATGGCGAAACAAATTCCAGTTATCTTTAACCGACCACGCGAATTTAAAACGCGTTATTAATGGCGGAGCAAGCCACGCAAAGTAAAGCGCACCCATCCAGATACACACGAGCACGCGCCCACACCCGCACAGCACCACCAGCCCACCACCCAGGCCGGCGCCGCCCAAAATCTCCGCGTCCCCCTCGCCCACCATGGCCTCCTTCTTCGGCGACGACGGCGCCGACGACCTCCCGCGCACCACTTCCCACCCCTTCGACTCCGACGACTTCGGCGCCGCCGCGGCCGACGGCGACGGCGCCGGCGGGTACGGCGGGTACGCCTCCTTCGCCGAGGGGGGCGTCGAGGAGGTGGACGAGGAGATCACCGTCGAGTCAGACGGGGTCCCGATCCGCCACGTCTCTGGGGGTTACTCGCCCTCGCCGTTCTCCCCCGAGCTCGAGCCCAACGGCGGCGACGGCCCGATCCTGCCGCCGCCCACCGAGATGCGGGACGAGGGCATCCTCCTCCGCGAGTGGCGGAGGTGAGCCCCGCCGGCGCCGGTTCCGATCTGTTTGGGGGGATGCGCCATTTTGCTGCATGTATGCTTGCTTGCGTGTGGGCTAGGTTTCCGGGTGTTCGAGTCAGATCTAACGCTTTCTGGCGCTCTTTCGACTAATTTTAGCCGCTTCTTCTGCACTACGGAGGTGAAACACAGCGAGGGTTTCTGTACGGAAATTGTTGGTTTCTATTACTTCGGTTCATTAGAAATTTGGACACTCTAGAAATTGCTGTTAAGGGAATAGCCAGTCGTGGACTAGTTTCTAAGCTGAGAACTTGGTATAGCTGCAGGCCTTCTAGGGCCTTCTAGTTCTCCATTAAGTGTTTGAATCGTTGGTACCATATAGCTGTAACTATAGTTGTATCGGCTAGCATCTCTATTTTTGCCATACTACCACTGATATCAGTAGGATGTGTGGAGCTACTGTATGCACATCACCATATGGTACAATATGAAAATTGCAAATATAACAGTGTGCAGTAATTTTCCATGAACACTTAGCGCCTACGGTCCCAGCGCTCAAAGTCATTTTCTTGTGCTTTTACCCCTGAAGTTAGTTTCTTACAGCAATTCAGAGGTATTAAACGCAGTGACAATTTTTCCTTGGAAATTTGTGTTTTTCTGTTAGCTAGATTTCATTAGAATGAAACTATGTATTGCTCAAGTTTCTATTTGACACACTCCAACCAAAGGAACCTAGGAACGTTTTTTATTAAAATAACTTTAGGCATATACAACTAGAATTGGTGTGCTACTCAATATAAAGTAAAATTCAACCTAAGCTAGCATGACATAATTCATCTTGTATCAGTCCTTGCCTATACAGCCTATTATTATATTTTATCAAACTAGTATTTTATGAACCAAGTCTCACAGAAACTAGAGGAATAGGCCAAATCAACCTTCTAAAATATGAATTTGTGGCATGCAATCATTTAAGCTTCCAAAAATCATATTGGTAGGAGAATTCTTTTGTTGGATTACCTTGTACTCTAAGAATCAGATAATAGTTAGACTTACAGTCCTACTGTATGATTGTTCTCTTCCAGGTGATTGATGCATTGCTAGGATATACTGGTAAACCTTGATTGTAGGATGTCTTAGCACATGTATGATGGCACTTATGCACATGTTGTGAATATAACTAGTTAGCTATGCACCAGTGGTCTTCTGCAACCACTTAATGCTTTGTCTGGTGCTTCATTCTTCCAACCGTATGCTTTGTTGATATTACTCCAGTCCTGACCAAGTAACCACTAGGTGGACACATTTATTCTTTTAGATTTAGATGTTCATATCTGTTGATTTTCTTGAAATCCTCAAATCAGTGAAGGTATACCTCCCAGAGAAAATCCACACATTCTTTTGTTACCACTCGTCATTTGTTACCTTGCAAAATGTGTGCGCTTCCTAGCATTATAGTCTATGAAGCAGTTGTCTGTTGATACAGCCTTGCTTATTTTGTGGTTTAGTGCACGCCTATATTGACTTCTGAGTTTACTTTAGTAGTTAATTAATAGAAGTTCTTGAGTATTGGAATTGTGTTGTGTCATAATTTAAGGTGTGTTTGGTATGATCTGCTGCATCAGGACATCGTCCCAGGCTTGTAGCAGTAGCAGATTTGTCTATATTCGGAGTGACATTGATTTGGATTTAGATTTAATGATTATCTTCTGGAAAGCCCAGTAAAGTCATTTTTGTAAGGAATCTGTAACTATTGTAGGGTGCTTTTGTACAGACCAAAGTAACTGTCATGTCTTTTATGTTTCTCAGATCGAACGATGTCATTTTCTTATCTTCCTTGATTTTTTATGCCACTCTAGTTTTAATTTGTTATTGCTTCCTTTTCAACAATTTTCTTAGGAAAAATGCTATTGAACTTGAGAAAAGGAACAGAAGGAGAAGGAGCTACGTGCCCAAATAATTGCTGAAGCTGAAGAATTCAAGAAAGCTTTTTTGAGAAGAGGATACAGAACTGTCGTCCAAATATGGTCAACAACAGAGAAAGGGAGAAGGTTTGTGACTATCATATATAAGCAGTTAGGGCTCTTGTCTGTGTTTGTAAGCTAATCTATTTATATGTTGGATACTAATTGCTCTTGTGGTATGCTGCAGATTTTTGTAGCCAGCCAGGAGAAATTCCATGCCAACGCAGACAAGCAGTATTGGAAATCGATTTCAGATCTCATCCCACATGAAAAATAGCCACCATTGAGAAGCGGGGAAAGAAAGACAAGGACAAGAAGCCATCCATCACTGTTATTCAGGGCCCCAAGCCTGGCAAGCCCACCGACCTCTCCCGGATGCGCCATATCTTAGTGAAGCTGAAGCATGCTCCACCGCCACATATGTTGCAACCTCCACCAGCACCTGCTGCTAAAGAGGGCGCAAAGGATGGCGCCAAAGAAGGTGCAAAGGATGGTGCCAAAGAAGGCGCGGCAGCCCCAGCAAACGGCACCAAGCAGCCTGCAGAAAGCCAAGAAACCCTCGCCAATGGCCCCTCCGAGGCCGAGAAAGAGCAGCCTGCAGCGTCGGAGTGACCGGAAAGGGTAGCTTTACAGAAACACAAGAGCCTTACTGTCAGTAGATGGAAGCGTGTTTTATTTCTGATGATTTCCAGACCTGTTTGTCCCGTACGGATCTTTTGTAGAGATCTGCATCAGGATGTCTTTATATCAGCGCAGAGCATTCATAATTAGTATCACCACAGCAGTTGTATTTTTACTGTTTTCCTCTTGTCCAAGTGTGTCTTCACTGAGATGCCTGTGATCTCAAGTTCAGATCTGAAACTGTTACTGAGAGTTAAACTGAATACTCTATGATATGCTACTGCACTAATATGATAATGATCTCAAGCTGTGCAATAAGCAGCAATCTTGCATTGCTCTGGCATGAATTCACTAATCTATATGTACAAGATCTAGTTGCCGCGTTTGCAGGAGGAAACAACACCACACACGTTGCACTCACTCTCTTATACCGTCAGATCGGTAGCTCTACATAGTCGCCAGTTCACAACGCAAGGAATTACTCAATTACATTTACATCTGCCTGGTGTTGCTTCACCTGGGGCTCATCTCAGTCACCGTTGGTGGCACAACCGTGCTGAACATGTTGGAATCCTCGGACGCCGAGTTCTTGAACCTGTAGTTGCTGGAAACGGTGGCCTCGGACCCGGGGCTCCTCCTGCTGTTCTCGTGGAGGTAACCTGGCGCCGTCAGCTCGCTCTCGTTGATCCGGATGGGCTTGGACAGCATGGTCACAACCTGGGACATCGTCGGCCTGCGAGCGCGGCGGCCGCCTGTAAGCAGAAGAGGGCCACCTTGATGTACCTGATGACTTCTTCCTCAGGGTAATCTACAAGGGCTGGATCCACCAGTTCCTTGAGCCTCTTTGCTTCATATAGCTCCCATGTCTGCTGTGAATGTTCAGAGTTAGGCTTTTTTGGACAAACATTTGTGCATGTTGACAACTAAACAATTTACTGTGCAACTTCAGCTAACATTTTGCCAGGCTGCTGTTGTTGTGAAGTGGTGTTGCACTTCTATAGTTCTGTGTATTTTGTGGATGCCAAAACATTCAGAAAAAGCAAGCAGTCAGGCAGATGAAGTGAAAAAGACTGACCTTCTCTAGGAGAACCTTGTCATCCATCAGTATGCTCCTGGAACTACTTGTGCCACTCACTATCTCCAGGACAAGGATACCAAAACTGTATATATCCGCTTTCTTGGTTAGCTGGCCATGCCATGCATATTCAGGTGCAAGGTAGCCTCTGCAAGCAGCCCAACAATCAAGTTACCATAAGGAAATACGATCGCAAATCAAGGCAAGTGCCAAAACTGCAAATAGGCCGATACTCACGTTGTTCCAGCTACTCGGGTGCTGATATGGGTGACATTATCAGGAAATAGCTTGGCCAGACCAAAATCCCCGATCTTGGGGACGTAATTTTTGTCAAGTAGTATATTGCTAGCCTTGATGTCTCTGTGTACAATTGGTGATGCGATCTCTTCATGCAGGTAAGCAAGGCCTCGAGCAACTCCAAGGCATATAGCAGATCTTATGCTCCAGGTGAAGTCAGCGGGCTCACTGTTAGAACCTGCAGAAGCATAGGGTAAATTGTTAATAAGGCAACTAAAGTCAATGTTGCAATTCAATCATGTAGCAAAACATCAATTTTAGTAACAGTAGTACAAGGTTCATACCCAACAGTGCACGGTCAAGACTGCTGTTTTTAAGATATTCATATACCAAAATCCTGTTATTTCCTTCAACGCAACAGCCAATTAATTCAACAAGGTTGGGATGCTTCACGTTAGTAATGACATCAATTTCTGTCAAGAATTCTCTGATGCCCTGACTGGATTCAGCAGAAAGAACTTTTACCGCGACCTCTCGCCCATTTCGAATGGTTCCCTGCAACATTAAATAACATATGTTAAAACTAAAAGAGATTCATCACTCCATTGGTCTGTACCCTCAAACTGAACAACGGATGACGAAATGAATTGTCACCTTATAAACTGTACCGAAGCCACCTCGACCTACTTTGTTCGTTCGGTTGAAGTTGTCTGTGGCAGATCTTAACTCAGCATAGGAGAAGACCCTTATGTTTATCTCAGAATAAATACCTGAAAGCAGTACAAAATGTGCATTATAACTGGAATATCGCAATGCTAAAAAAATGCAAAAGGAAATGGGTTAGGCATAGTGCACTAGTACATTCATTCTATCTTCTGCAATACACTACAGCCATTTCTGAAATACTTCTGCTATATACTTAGGTCATACAATTGTTCCAAATTGCATCAAGGCATTGAGAGGGAGAAGTGTTGAAAACAGAACTGATTAAAGACTGATACGTGCTGGCTAAATGCATGATAATTTGCAGCTAGCATTAGCATACCAACGCAGCAAATTGTGAAGCATGCAAATACATTTTGCTTACCGCCTATGATGCTGGAGTAAGGATTCTCTTCTTTCTTGGCTCCTCTACGAGGAAGACAACACCAATTCATATCCACACTTGTTACGGTAGCCTTGTGGTGCTCAAATTCAACATGCAGCAGAGCAGAGGAATCTTCTTGAGGCAACTTTTACTCTGCAAAAAATGCATTGTCAATTTGCCATGTGTAAGATGAGAGCTGTAATTGCATCTCACTGAGAATTTTTTGCATCCTGACTCCTGAGATACTAATGTTGGATAAAAATAACAGGCATGGCAGATCATTTGAAACAAGTGTCCGGGAAAATTGTCCTATCACTGGCCACGGATCTGATGCATGGTTAGTTCAGAGAGATGGATGGCGAGAACCAGCGAGTGCCCTCTCGTCACTGTCCCCATCCAGGATTCAGGAACACTTGGTTATAGCACGACGATGTGACCTCATAAGCACCAAGATGTCCCTACTCCCTGCCGTCAAGGGAAACATTTGTGACCGAAGGGCACCCTGCCTCTGTCTTACTCTTTACAGCGCAAAGCAGTACAGGGTTGCTGCTGCACTAACTGAACATGCGGTAGATTGGATATGCTCCGCCTACACCAATCCAACTAACCCTGTTCTTTCCTGAGATGAAAGTTCAGTCCGTAGGGAGGAAAGATTTGGTGCTAGGAACAAAGACGATCGAGCACGGCTCATCATTTTGGCTTCAGGCTAAACACACCCAAATCCTCCTCCGGAACGAAACAAAAAAACTGACGAATAAGTCACCACCTGGCACCTTGGCTTGGGTCTGGCACACGGGTCGAGGAGCGAGGAGAGACGATCATGGCCTTTCTTCTTCTTCTTTTAGTTAATAAAGGAACCTTTTATTACTTTTTCAATGGCAATACATCGAAAAAAAACTACTTCTGGCCTGCCTCTGCTTTTTTCAAGCACACAGCCACGAAAGAGAAAACGACGATCATGGTTTGAGGTTGCCGGGGACTCTCCGTCGCATCCGATGAAAGAGCAGTCGGGGCGCCTGTGCATCTACCACCAGCACGCAGCTGAGCGGAGACGAGAGATCAGGCGCGGGAGCTCTCGTGCAGGCAGAAAGGTTTTTTCTCAGAGATGAGAAAAAAGGCACGAGACGAGGACGGCCTTGTCCACCGCAGCAGGGAGATGCCAGGATCAGGATCCAGGGCAGAAAGGAAAGGCAGGCAGCGATCGCAGAAATGGTCCGAGAGAGAGAGAGAGAGAGAGAAGGAGGAGAAGATGTCGATCGAGATGGAGAGACTCGTACCTGAGAACTGAAGGGAGCAGGCAGCTAGCAGGTCCCCGGCTCCGTGGCGTGTGCCCTTCTTCTCTTCACCGGCGAGTAGGAGCTAGGAGAGCGGATTGATTGATTATACGGCCGGGACGGTGGGGGCTAGGCGCTAGCTGGGGAAGGGGAAGCCAAGCCGGGAAGGGGAGGAAGAGGAACACGGTGCTTGGGGCTGCAATTATATGTACGTAGATTTCTGTGGCGCTGGGGGCAGGCAGGCTTACTGGCGTGTCGCCGCTTGGTGTGCTATGCTAGCTCCGCCGCCCTCCACTGCTGGAGCTGGACGACGTTGGCAGGGCAGGGCAGGGCAACTGGGAAGGGCATGGTGAGTGCAATAAAGGCGCTGCAGCAGAAGGAAGCGCCTGCGCGGGCGGCCGTGCAGTGCAGCGAGGACGCTACACGTACGGGAACGATTGATTGAACGAAGGAAATGGGAAAACAAAGGAAATGCGGTAGCCGCCGGGAAGGAGGAGGAGGAGAAGGGGTCTTCCCACCTGTCGAGCATGAGCATTGGTGGTGTCAGTAATGAGTGAGTGTGATGTGACCCACCAGCTGATGAGACGCGACAAGGCGTGGTGGATTTGGCCGGGGTCGGGTTAGTACGATGATATTTCTGGCGCCGCCGCGCGGCACCGTTCTCATTCATTCATTCTGTTATTAGAGCGTTTTTAATTTAATGGTTAGTAATTGGTTACCTCTGAGTTTGCATTAAATGTTAGAAATACCTTCTTTATTTCTCTCGAGGAAAATAACTACGTAGACCTTTTTTTATACACCTCTAATCTAACGAAAGACATGTACTCCGTACCTTCTTTATTCTCTTGTGCGATATATGGATTAAGAAAGAGAACAATGTATATAATAGAAAACATTTAAAAAAACCTTCCATATTATAAGTAGTTTTGACTTTTTTTTACATCCATTTTGCTATACATGTAATATATGTTTAGATACATAGTAAATTCTATGTAAAAAAAATCAAAACATCTTGTAATTTGAAATAGAGGGAGTACATGCCAAACATATAGGAAAGAAAATGTCATCTACGGTATTGTTTGGTTCTAAGGATGTGATGGAACAAAGTGAGATATCCCACTTGGACTTTGTATTTGGTTCAGGGTCGACTAGAGACAACAGGACCATCGTACTAAGAATACGTTCCACGTAGATCTGGGGCTCAGTTGTCCCTGACGGACTCGTCCGTCGCACCTAGGACAAAGGCTGCTTCGGCCTTCGGCCAAGTGAGGGGAAGAAGAAGAGTTGCGAGCGCCGTCTGCGCGGGAGAGGCTGGCTTGGCGCGTGGGGAAAAAGACGACATGCGCCTACTACCGGCGGACGTGGGCTTGAGCGCCCCTGCGAAGGCCTGGCCGTGGGCACGCTAGGTCGCTAGCCGTGCGTATAGGCGCCAACAACGAGCGCGGGGGGAGGAGAGGCCCGGCCATAGGTGCAGGTGGCGGCAACGAGTGCGGAGGAGAGGCCCGGCCGTAGGTGCAGGTGCAGGGAGCCTCGAGACAAAAAGGACAGAGAGAAAGGATAAGGAAGAAGAAAAGAAAAGAAAAAGAATTTGATGAATGTGTCCTTGCCCTTGCATATCGATGGTTGATCCTATTTTCGAGTGTAACCAAACATAGAACAAAGATGATCATGTCCCTCACAACCAAACACTAGACGAGACCATTCTATTTCGCAAAACCATGGCAAGAGTGTCTCGTTCTACTTAGTCTCTCAACCAAAACCAACCTAAAATCTAGCATCCTTCTCTTACTTATCATCTGAGTCTCACCATTGGAGATGCATGCTATCGTACTAGCTAGAGTTTCTCGGCTGGGCAGCAGCTACCAAGTTTGCCACTGTACTGTTGCCCCGCCCCAGTCCCACATAGCCACAGCTGGGCGCCGGGCACGCACGCCCGTCGCCCATTGGTTCGTTCCACACTCACCCAGCAGGAATGCAGGCCGCGGCCCCGCATCCGGTCGTGGTTGTTTCACAGCGCTGCACGTGGCGCTCCCGTTGCGTCCGCGTGTGTTTTGTACTGGACTCCCCCTCGCGCTCAATTCCCAGATATCGCAGCAGCCCACGCTGCGCTCGTGTGTACTAAATACTGTATAGTACTTACTCCTCATTATGGATAGTTTATAACCTGTTCGCTTCGCAGCAGCCCACGCTGCGCTCGTGTGTACTAAATACTGTATACTACTTGCTCCTCATTATGGATAGTTTATTACATGTTCGCTTGATTGTTTCTATGGTCTCGTTCGCTTCGCTGAAAAAACAGCGGAAACACTGTTTCGACTGATTTGTTAGGAGAAAAAAATACTGTTCCGGCTGAAAAAACAAGTTGAAAAATACAGATAATAAGAGAAGCGAACAGAGCCTATGGCTTATAAACCAACTGATGTTGTTTTATTATGAGAGAAAAACACTGTACCATAACTGATAAATATGACCGATATGATCAAGCAAACAGTAACGAATAATCCTTCTCCGGACTTTCTCACGTACAACGAGTACTCGTACTCGTAATCCCCCGTTTGATCGGAAGGAATTCAAAATGAATGCATAGTATATTCTTATTATATTATATACGGATTCCTCTGACCTCTGTGGCTTCTGCATCTTCGGTAGCCACTGATTGATTGATTTTTCTTCTTCTTCTGTATAATGTGTACTACTGTACAAACGGTGGTTGCATACGCACCAGCGGCGACGACCTGGTGCGTTTTGATTTGTCCATCCGTGGGCCACGGCCACGGCCACGCCCCCGCAAGCGCCAAGCGTGGTCACCAGTCAACGCATGGATGGATAATGACCAGACAGCTGCCTCCATTTTTTCCCCCGCTGATGGATCATAGATGTTTCCTGTGTGTGTAGTATGTTTTTTTTTGTTGACTTGTGACCCTCCCCCGGTCAACTTATTCCTTTTCACTGTGGCGTTCACACGGCCCCTTGGTCCATCACTCTTCTGGGCATTGTTTAGTTACTCTAAACTTCCAACTTTGGCACTATACAAAAAGAAGATTCTCCGTCACATTAAACTTATGGTACATACATGGAGTACTAAATGTAGACGAAATCAAAAACTAATTGCACAGTTAGGTTATACTTTGCGAGATGAACGTTTTGAGCATAATTAGTCAACGATTGGACAATTATTACCAAATACAAACGAAATGCTACAGTGCGCTACAGTGCGCACAGTGAATCCTGCAGCGCCGAATTCGGCCAACTAAACAAGACCCTAAATAAATACTGCCATGTAATACGATGGATTTGTACTTTTGGGCGTGACCTCATGCTCACGTCACGGCTTGCCAGGGATGACGTCAGCGTCAAATACTACTGCTCGGTGGGCCCCAACACCAGGGAGAAATTTTTACTTTTTAGCCCTTTTTTAAAAGTTTCTCACAGATAGACCCCTGGAGTAAAGATTTTAGAATCTGGACCCTTAGCTCGACGCCATCGATGCTGGCGCCGAGCTAACACGTCTCGGCGCCAGCATTGGGCTCGACATAGGCATGACGCTGACTTGGCGGTGCGCTTGAGCATGCGCCTCCGAGCCTCGAGCGCCGCACTGCACTCGTCTTTGCCATTCACCACCGTGCGGCGTGGGAGTGCGATCTTGGTAGCCTAAAAGGGTCACGTCGCCTAGCTATCGGCAATGTGTGCACGGTCGAGCATGGAGACTTGCCCGCCTTTACGACACACCGGAAATCACATCAGCTTTTTATGTGTTAGGCCAAGCGCCACAATCGGCTTTTACCGATGGATGGTAGAGGAGAAAAGAAAAGCACTTGCGTCGACTCATTGGAAAAACACTGCGGCCACGCACTTCTCCCTCACCCTCTCCCATGCTTTTGATGTGACCACAGATGTGCCAACCCCCTGAGGCTGAGGACCACTGTGTGTGAAATCTTTCTTGTATAATATTCATGATGCCATCCCACGGCTTCGCAATGGATCGGTGAGAAATTGGTGATCTCTGGATTTCACAATCAACTAGCGAGTGAGAAATTGAACCGAAGTATGGCCGGTTTTCTTATTTGTGACTAGGTATGGCACACATGAAACGTAGCATTTATTTTCCTACATTGGAAAAATGTAGGAAAAATTCCTATAATCCCCTTTGGAACAAGAATGCTTCCCAACAATTCCTTTGAATTCCTATAATTCCTTTAAAGAATTTTGGAGGAAACTAAACATGAGCTCTAATCTCATCGTTTTGTTTCCTATGTTTTTCCTACATTTTTTCAAAGGGCATCTTCCTAAACTTTCCTTTCTTTTGAAACCTTGTAGGATTTAAAGTGTTACGACATTTCGTTCTTATGTTTTCCTATCCTTGTGTTTTGTAAATTCTTTGTTCCAAAGGGTCCTTTAAACTTGTGAATTCTTTCTATCC